ATTCTTTTGCTCTGGAGAATATTCCATGAATTTTATTTCATCATTATTATTTTCTTTTTTTACCATCGCAAAGACTAATGGGCGCAATATCCAACCTAACGAAGAGATGAGCACGTTTTAAGAATGTGTTAAACTGATTTCTCGTTCGTAGGCCAACGTGTGAAATTACGATCGTCGCAATACTTATAAAGCTAACTTTACTTTGTTACTTGCAGATTTACAGATACAGAGGTACTCGCCATCTATCGGTGGATACTGTCTTTAATTATAATTGAATTTGTATTTTATGAGATTGCATTTTTATCGGTTGCACTGATATTTAATTTTCAACGAAGATTTCATGTAAAAGAATTTTGAATACTGTCTAGTTCGGCTACTCTAATTTCAATGTCTGATTTTACACTAGATCCGCGTTAAAATTCAGTTTTTTTTGAAATATTAACCTTTCAAGTTTATTTTTTTAATTGAAAATTTTGATTCAATGAAATAATACTTTTTACAAAAAGGGTGACTGTGTATCAAAAAGTTGATTATACTTACAAAACATTCATTCGCAGTAATAAAAACTTCAAATAGGCCTCTCGCATTAAAAGCGTGAAACTTTTCAAAAACCCCTTGCGTTCAGCGAGATCGAATCGATCGGATAAGGGGCAAGCGTATGATACACGAAAATGCCGCGAATTGAAAGAAAAACGCGCCGCGGAAATTCTGGCAAGCTCGAACTAATGAAATTAATGAAACGGCCTCAACCGGTCCGCGTTGTAATTATGTACCGCGTATTCGATTCCATACATATACCTGTCGAAAGCTCCAGTTGGCAAATCGCATTGGCATATTTGCTCCACTCGCATACGGAGCGGATAATACAGGGAAAACGTGAAATCAAAACAATATGATTCGCCGGCATAATTTTCAGGATTGAAACCCATCCGCCGCCATAATAGGATGCAGGTAGTAATAATAAAGTTGAAAAGGAGCGAAACATCAAATATAAGCGTTGACCACATCCGCCTCGTAGTTATATATTGGCCATCGGCATAGGGGCGCGTGCCAATTCCTCTCCTCCTGCTCCTTTACACCCGCATTATATACATATATCCTATAAAACTTTTATGCATCTCGTCTATAATACTGCCAACTTTCTCGAGCCTCTTGCGCTGCTCCAGTCTGCTCATCATCGTCATCATATTTTATACCCGGGCCAACTTTTGGTTTTCGGCCGCAGCAGCAGCAGCAGCAGCAGCTTCGAGAGATGGGGGAGAGAAAGAGACGAGCTTTTGAACGTCGATATCCGATTGTTTCAATTTTACGCTTGCGCATGTACAAATCGAAGTTCATTTCTTTCGCGATAATTTTAAAGCATCTCAGTTTTCTTACGAAACAAAGGAAACGAAACGATCGGCGCGTTGATATTTTACGCGCGCGGCTTTGTTGGTATTTTCCGTTAGGCGAGTGCATCGCGCGTTACAACACGAGAGAAAGATAGAACGTGAAAATGTTTGAGGTTTCGAGAGCGCCACGTTGGGGGGAGGCTAGCCCAAAAGTTAAACTCGCGCTGGCCGGAATGCAAGAGGATAAATTGTACAGGGCCATATAATAGTCGAAAATTCCAGGGGGGGCTTTTTCGTTCATTGGCGCTTCGGTTGTTTATATACGCCTAGCCGAACTTTGTCTCACCGTATATATACCATACGACGTACATATCGTCGCCCCAGCGCAGGAAGGTATCTATTTCCAAGCTGTAGCAAGAAGGATACTTACTCGCGCGCTGAGGCAAAAAGGTATCTAACTCGAGCGCAGCGGCAAAAAGGTATCTAATTCAAGCGAGAAGCAAAAAAGTAGCTAATTCAAACGAAGTGGCAAGAAAGTTTTGATGCGCTGAATTTAGGTTGGCAACGGAGTCGTAAATGATAAAATTTTGTTTCGTATTAGAGCAAAAAAGAGGAAAAACATTTGAGCTAGTGTAATGATTTTCATCCATTTGTAATGCGAGCAAACAAATCAATCTCACCATGATTTCGACTCAATTTGCCACTTATAGAGAACTTTGTATGTTATAAAAGGAAAGTAGAAGTTATCGGCTTTACATAGCTTTGAATTAAATGTTGAATGTTGAATGTTGAAATAAAATTTTATCATTTACGGCTCCGTTGCCAACCTAAATTCAGCGGGTCAAAACTTTCTTGCCACTTCGTTTGAATTAGCTACTTTTTTGCTTCTCGCTCGAATTAGATACCTTTTTGCCGCTGCGCTCGAGATAGATACCTTTTTGCCTCAGCGCGCGAGTAAGTATCCTTCTTGCTACAGCTTGGAAATAGATACCTTCCTGCGCTGGGGCGACGATATAAAGTTCTAAGGTCTCATTTGAATAAATAAAATTCGATGAGTGGACGACATCAAAAGCTAGTATATAGCTTCTCGTCGTCGTCGTCGTCGTCGTCGTGCACGCGCGTGAGAAGGTACAGTTAAAAGTTCGAAAGTGTGCAGGTCAGTCGTCGTCGCGTTGAAACTTCGTGCCTCGGCTACATTTCTCTCTCTCTCTCCCTTTCGGTGCTTCTGGGACTACTGCTATATAATATGTGTGTGTGTGTGTGTGTGTGTGTGTGTGTGTGTGTGTGTGTGTGTGTGTGTAACGACATCGAATTATAGACATAAGCTTCGCGCGCGCGCGCGCAAGTGTACGTAAGTGCCGCATTCGGAACACCCACACCACACGGAGAGTCCGTGAGAGCTTTTTCTTTTTATTATTATCGCGCGCTATGTTTCGATAAAATTATACGCACGGCTAAATCATCCGGAAAAGCTTCGAGAGCTCGAGTGCGCACGAAGATTGCGCGAATCAAGCGCGCGACATACGGTTATATACGCGAATTACGCACATAACAATATATATATACCGTCGGCTCGAAACTTTCTCTTCGTTGTAAAGCTCCGTTAAGCTTCTTATTGATATATATTTCGTATGCATGTAGATCAAAACTTGCGTCGAGAAACGAGAGACGCGCCCAGCAAGACTGTATTATAAGAGCAAAGTACAACTAAAATGTGTGTGTGTGTGTGCGAGAGATGCCTCGATATCGAAGATTGACGCGCAGCTCTCGTGCAGCAGCAGCAGCAGCAGCCCCATTGTTTCGAGAATAAATATTAGTTTTCAATTACGACGTAAAAATGCGCCTTATATATGTATAGTTTCCACTAGCGTTGCTATGTGGGGCAAACATATTGCGGGGTACGCGCGGAGTAGAGAGAGAGAGAAAGAGAGAGAGAGAGAAAAGGAGAGAAACCCGAGCCGCAATTCTGAAAATGGAAATTTTTGTTGTTCTCTAACCGTCGAGTGCTGTGATATCGAGAAGTTGGACGCGTGATGAGAACGAACGGTGACGTTATATCTCGATCGCGTTAATTCACCTGAATTTTCATCGAGGTGTAAATAATGAATTGCTGTATGATTTTTTATCGTATTCATTTAAATTATCGATTATTAGTATAGCAACAAGATCATTTAACGATAAGAATTATTCAAAAATTACAAGGACTTATGATTTTAATATAAAAATTGTTGCAGTACAGGAAAATTACAGGCGTTACACTAATAACAGGGTCGACAAACAAAATTAGAGCATAAAGTAGATTAAACGAGGTGTATAAAAGCTCTCTCGCGAAGAAAGTTTGTAGCCTACCTATACACAACGCGAGGCGCGGCCACGATTCGGTATAAGCGACGATGCGTGCGCGGCAGTCGTGTTACACCGCGGAATAATAATTACCGCATCGTATCGAGTGTTGTGCGTGAGCGTGAACCTATATTATACGTAAAATACCGAGTAAATTTTCATCGGGAGAGCATTACTCGTGTGTACACATTTATCCGTCGGTACACGAAAACTCGTAATTAGGATAATGTACACGAGCAGCAGCAGCAGCCCCCCCCCCTCGTCGACGAGCGTGTTACCTGGCAGTTTTTGAACTTTGAAAATACCGACATCGTGTAACGGGGTTCGACGAACTCCTCCTGACTTTGGCGATATCGAGGATGATCGCGCGAGAAAGCTCGAACGCAATACGCGAATTTTCAAATTGATTGCGAAAATTGACTCTTATTGTGTTACTTTTAGCCGAGGTTTAATTAAATTTCACGACAATTAATAGGTGGGAATGCAAAAAAAAAGATTCGGTTAATGAGAATAGAACGCGTCGACCAGATTCCCTCGTATCCTTTTTAATTAAACACATATTATGCTCGACGAGATCGACCGAAATAACAATTCGTCCGCACACGCGTAATAATAAGCTTCGACTCGCGAGGATCGATTGACATTTTTTTTTTATTCCCGATTTTCAACGCGCCGTTTATAACACTTAATGAACATTCTCCGAGCCATAACGCGGTAATCATGCGCGAGCGATTCTTATCGCCCTGAATGAAGGCAATAAGGCTAGAAGCGTACATATAGTGGTACACTTCTCCGCGCACTTCCTCCTGCATAATCTATCCGAGCTTTAATTAGGTGCTAATTAAGTTGAGGCTTCGTTCAATTCGATTATTATTATTTTGAATAAGGCGCGACCATGAGAAGTGGTTATAATCGATGCGTTGGAAATATAAAATCAAAGAGTAATAATGTTTTATAACAATTGACTTCGAGTTACATCGATGGTGAAAAATTTACAATGGATGACACTCGATCAAAAATATCAATTTATTTTGGTATTATTAATGCTATTAAGCTCTTAACGATGGTATCTGAAATGAATATACGAATTTATCCATCTTTTGAAAAATGAAATAAAATCGTTATCAATATATTCAATTTCAATACCTGCGATGTGAAATTTATTAACAAAAAAGAATATTTAATAAAACTTGGTCATAAAATACAGATTTTATTTACCAACGCTATCTTTCATTTAAATGAAAAATCTCATAAGCTAAAACCATATTACATTTTCAATGCAACGCAGTATACAAATAAAGAACGAAATTGACTTTTTTTTCGCAGATGATGGGCAAGTGGTACGTGGTGGAGGTGATCGAGCACAGGCGCGAGGCGAGCTGGGCCAGTCCGACGCTGCCCTCGGGGGCGCAGCAGCACTTCGTGATCGACGCCTGCCCGATCGTGCATCTGCGCGCCCTGGAGACGCGCGGCGGCGGCCGCCAGCAGGCGGGACCGCCGCGAATCAGTCTGCTCTGGGACGAGGCCGCGGGCAATCTCGAGTACACCTTCTGGGTGTCGCAGAACCGGGGGCCCGGCGTCTGGAACTCCGACATCATACAGAACGGTAAGCTGGGGATATCGTTGGGAATTTGCACATTTTTTGTCGTGCATAAACAAAACAAAAACAAAAATATTATACAATAATTTTTTAAAACCAAGCAGCTTAATAACTGCTAAACTTACCTATTTTGATAGTGTGTATACAATTTGATTGCCTCTTGCCACCTAGCGATTGACACAATAACACGAAAGCGACAGCGTGTATTTATCAGTGTACCTCGTTGTAAAAATAATAAATTTACACACAAAACTTCTCTCCTTATTCAATCTTTAGGATACCATAGTTTTAAGCACTATATTAAATGTTTTCAATATTTATAAACTTTCTTTGTCGATACGAAATTGATATCGCGTTATTTATCATACGTATACATACGAACTTGACGTGAACGATGAATCTTGATGCTCGTGGAAAAATCGTGGCATTAACAAGAGTATACGCACGTCAGAAATATCTATCGGACGTGTCTATCCATCGCGCGAGATATATATCTGTTTGGCTTGTCTATCGGCTCCTCGAAAGAGAAACACGGCACAACTACGAGGCCGTTCGGAGGCGCGCGATGACACGGGGAAATTAACAAGGCGGATATGAAATGTTGCTCGTTCGGTTAGATATATACGGGGGCGCTTCGGAAGGTTCGCGTGAATTTATCGCCGAACGCGCCGCTGATTCGATATTTGATTATACGCGACTTAAGTATACAAAGACTTGTTACCGAACTGAAAAGTGCCAAGATTCACGATAAGTCTCGTAACTCGCTTCGTAATTCACTTTCTGTTTCGTTCTTGAAACAAGGTAAAAAATTGTTTTCTTCCCTGAAGCATTAGAACGCAATTACCGCTGTAATATTCAGAGGTCTCTTTTTTTTTTTAAGTAAATAACAATGCCATAGGGCGGCGCGCATCGTCGGCCGATTTCCATTCGGGTCGAAAGTGTTTCCCATCGTTTCCAGGTACAGACGTAACCAAGCGCGCGCAAAAGGCAGTTCGTGTGCGCACGGACGTGTACACTACTACGCTTTATTCTTTAGACAAATGAGCGATCATAAAAGGTGCAGCGCGCGCGTAAGAGAGAGAGAGAGGAAAAAAAACAACATTGTATATAAAAGCTGCGCTGCGCTGCGGGGTCATAAAAAAGAGTCCCAAGAAGTCAATATTGACTTCACTTTAGACCTATAGCTTTACTGACGCGTAATTTGGTATCGATTAGCTTAGAAGTGCGCGCCGCGCAAGTAGGTAGGCAGGCAGGCAGAGGCAGGAAGGAAGGAAGGCTTGGGATGGGCCAGATGCACGCGTCGTTAAAATCGATCGATCAAGCTCACTCTCTGCCTCTCGTCCCGTATATACGAGCGCGCAAGCTTTATCGACAGTCGCATAAATGGATTTTTCATGCGAATATTATTGAGCAGCTTTTCTTCCTCCTCCCCCCCCCCCCCTTTTTTTTTTAACGACGTATACGCTTTTACGGTACATCGACGTTGCGTATATATACGCGACGAGGTGACCACTTAATCGTATAAAAAGTAACCGTACGTCACGTTCGCGCAACGACATTGATTATATCGGGCTGTGCTTTCAAGAAATATTAACTTCACTCGTGAGTAGAGCTTTTGTGCCAAAGTAGAAATTGACGGCGTCGTAACGTCACCTCACTCACTGTACTTTTGGTATTTTTAACTATACAAAGTGGTATAAAAAAAGTTTTTTTAGAGTTAGAGACGCGGATGCAGATCACGAATGATCAAACTGCGATAACGCGTAGATTTTTTTCCGAATTAAAAAATTCGGGAAATATTTCGAATATATTATAACCGATGGAATTTTTTATACGCTTTCGAGCGCACGATGATACATGGAAAATTAAAACCGATAATTTGAAGATCGTTGAAATTCCATCGAACTATGTGCGCACAATATAACTTTCGTTTGGAAATTGATAAAATATCTGTTTCGAATTGATTTCGCGTAATACGCGCGGTGTATCAATTGTTATTTTACAAATTAAAAGATTGACGAGAGGTACCAGTAGTTTACTCGTGTAACCTGAATATTTCATTATTTGAGGATGTAACGTTTTCCGGTCGAACCATCGATTGTCCTAAAATCAACATTGACTTCAATTTGCACACGATATGTGCAATTATTTAGTGACATTCGATTGGCTTTTATTACTTTTCAACAGGGCTATATTTTTTATTCTAATGAAAACAAATCAATGTCAATGAAAACAAGCCGGTGTCTAGCTGCGAAAAAGAATTGTAACGAGTGCAGACTGTACCTTCATTCTTTAAATTTGAAAGTTATTCTCGTTCTTCCTCTTTTTTTTTTCATTTTACCTATATGCCCCCTCGCAAACGTGCACATTTTCGTGCTTTTCGATGTTGGCCTCATTTTCCATTTTACATAGACACACACACACATGCACACGTGCACTCCTGTATACCATGAAGCAACTCGACGTTTCGGATGGTCCCATTTCTTCCTTTTCGCGATATGCTATATATACGTACTACCCTTTGGGTTTTTTTCACATACTCACGTATTCGATTTTCCCCTTTCTTTTCTGCCTCTCTCTTTTATACTTCTTTTTTTTTTTTGTAATTTTTGCGCCGTATACTCTCTCGACGCCGATACACACGAGCTTTTTCCCTCAATCGCGTTATTTTTATTTCTCGATGTATACGTACACCGGGAACTGCTGTTAGGCAACGTAATATCTGCGCACCGTACGAGCTTCTCCCGGTGTGCGGCTTTAATATATCTTTTAATATCGCCAACGCGCGCGCACCGATGCCCGAAAATTACAGCGGCAGAAACGCGCGCGTGTGTGTGTGTGTGTGTGTGTGTGTGCGAGTTCCATCGCAACATTGGATTTCAAAACATTAAAAAAAAAAAATCTTCCACGAGTATCAAAGCTGTGTGTATACGAGTAAAAAAATGTTGCAGATATACCTCCCCCCCAAGAGCCATTAGTCGAAATCTCATCGCGCCTCGGTGCAGAGCGAGTGTGCAAGTGTGTGTATACACGAGGATGCACTCCGGGTTTTGAACTTGTAAAATTAACTATCAGAAGTTTCAAGATACGGGCCGTATAATTACCGGTGCAGACGGTACTTATATATTTTATATATGTACTATGTAGGTCTCTCTCTCTCTCCCTCTCTGTGCCTCGATAGCCAAGTATAAGATTCCTCGTTGCGCCTCGGCGTGCACGTAAGCGCGCATAATCGCGGAGAATCGAAATCCGAAACCGTCGCGTCCCGCTTTTATTTTCGAGAGTATACCAGTAGTGCTAGTAGTGTATGTACACGCGGACGGAGTCACGCGAGCGACGTCGACGCTCGTCGAAACTCTCATTCGCGTAGCCCTAATTAATTCCAGTGCCAGCTGCAGCTTAGCTCGACGTCGCTCGCGCGCGCCCATTTGCCCCAATGAAAGCTCGAGCAGCTATGCGCAGCAGCAGCAGGATTAGATCGAGTATAGCGGACGCGGCCTGTTTGCCACTATTTCCTACCTCTTTATATATATGGCTATACCTACAGCGGCAGCAGCAGCAGCGGTAGTTACTGTGCATTTACAAACAATACGTGCCGCAGCTGCTCGACTGTATCTCGAGCTATACGTACACCTCTACGTTTTGGCTTTTTATCTTTTTTTTTGCACTTTTTTTTTTGTTTGTTTTGTTTCGAGGGTGGCCTACGCACGTGTTGGTCCTGGAAATATTGCGATACATACGTGCCGGCACAACACGAATTCAATATATATTTACGTGAAACGCGCTTATACGTGATAAACGTTCTCCAGCTGCTAACGTTGATGCAATTAAGTAAGAAGAATTTTGGAAAATCTTCCAACTCGCGACATTATAAGAGAAAATATCGTTTAGTTTATGATTCTTTTGCATAATCGGTACTGTGGTTTACGAATCAATTCTCATGCAGCCTATTGTTTTACATTGTTTGGTCTTTGCTTCTTCTTCGAATTGACTGCTCACAACGGAGTAGGTGTATACTTAAACACGCGCCACTTGTTGTGAAAATACGAGAAATTTGATTACTTTTTCATTCCATCGTGAGCGTTTCAGATCTATCATATAGTGAACAGAGGCGGAATTGGATAAGTGCCACCGCACGTAAATTATAATTTGCCTCTCGTTGATTTTTGAAAACTCGAAAAATGAAGATCGAAGCATTAAAATAAGATTTTGGATTGGATGAAAATACTAAGAATAAGGATCCATCAATTAGGAGAGCTACTAAAATTTATACATAAGGACTGCATTTATTATGATTATTAAAGAGTTTACAGGATAGCAAAACCATTATAATAAAATTGTATTATCATGATAAACGTAGTTATCATAAAATTATGTCATTTAGTTATAAACTAAGATTAGCTCAATATAACTTCATCCAGAACATTTCGAGAGTTAATATACTCAGTAATTTACTATAAGTAAACTCATAGATATCTCATATTTGTCAATAATTTTAGACTTGATTTCTTTTCACTAGTCGCGTGCGACATTTTAATGATCTTCGTGTCCTTTTTTTGACAGGAGAGGAAACAATGTTTTTCTGTACAATTCTTCTTGCACTGGTCTCATACGAAATTTTTGCGACCCTCGTGTACTGTCTTTTGGTGGAAAAGTAAAGTCTGTTTTTGTCCGAATTTCTTCTCGCATTTGTCACATGCGAAATCTTTACGACCTTCGTGAACTGTCAATTGGTGCTTTAACAAATCCGATTTTCTTCCAAATTTCTGCTCGCAGTTATTGCATCCATAATCTTTGCGACCTTCGTGTATTATTTTATGGGAGAGTAAATGTGCTTTTTGTCCAAATTTCTTTTTGCACTTGTCACATGAGAAATCTTTGCGATTTTCGTGTACAGTCAAACCCCGTTATCCGCGGGGGTTCGGTTCCGAAAAAGTACCGCGTATACCGAAACCGCGGATACCGAAGCATTGTTCTTATGGGAAAAGGGGGGTTCGGTTCCTCGTCTATCTGAAATTTCAATGTACGAAAGAGTAAAACACCTTTTTTTTTTATGAAAAATCAAAGTATTTATTTATTTTCGAGTAAAATACTTAGTTAAACTTTTTTGCTTTGCTCTGTGCATCAACTCTTTGTATAAACTTTCATAACACTGCAATGATTTTGTTATATCTTGCTTGAATTGAAGGCTACGAGTCATTATTGGATCATGATTTATGGCTCGTTCAATGAGTTGTTCTGCATCAGCTAAAATTTTAGTTATGATTTATCTTGCATTGTTCTGCATGTTTCCCCAAAGATTTTGCACTCTCTCGAGTTTTTTTTTTCGATGTCGTGGATTGTTCTGATCGAAGACTCGTTGACGTTGAATCTTCTTGCGATTGTAGCAACTTTTTCACCAGATGCCAACGCGTCGAGAATTTTGATCTGTTCGACCAAATTTAAGAACTTTTCTATCGTGCTTGTTTTCGATTGAAACTGTTTATTTTTGGTGTTGGTCGAGACATAATTAAATAAAAATTAATAAAAAAATTTTTTAATTTGACCGCACAAAATGTTAACCTCCAGAAAAAAACCGCGGATACGAAAACAAAAAACCGCGGATACTGAAGTTGGGTCACAAATAGGGGTACCGCGGATACGAAGAATCGCGGATAACGAATCCGCGGATAACGGGGTTTGCCTGTACTGTCTGTTGGTGCCTAATCAAATTGCATTGCCCCCCAAATTTCTTCTCGCACTTATCGCATGAGTAATCTTTGCGACCTTCGTGTACTGTCTTTTGGTGCACAAGCAAATGTGGTTTTTGTCCAAATTTCTTCTCACATTTGTCACAAGCGTAATCTTTCCGACTCTCATGGACTGTCCTTTGGTGAATCAGTATATGCTTCTTAACTCCAAATAGCTTCTCGCACTTGTCACATGCATAATCTTTGCGACCTTCGTGGATCATCTTTTGATGTGAGAACAAAGTAGATTTGTGTCCATATTTCTTTTCGCACTTGTCACATGCAAAATCTTTACAAAGTTCGTGTACTACCTTTTGGTGGGAGAGCAAATGTTTTTTTTGGCCAAATTTCTTTTCAAATTTGTCACATGGAAAATCTTTCTGCCCTTTGTAGATTGTCTTTTGGTGCCCGAACAAATCTTTATGTGGAAATTTTTTCTCACATTTGTCGAATGGGAAATCTTCGCGATCTTTGTTTAGTTGGAAAAGCAGATGTACTTTTTTTACGAACTTCTTTTCAGACTTGTCGCCTACGCGATCTTTGTGACCTTCGTGGATTTTTTTTATATGTACGAGTAAACTCTGTTTATTTCCAAATCTCTTCGAGCACTTTTCACATAAGTAATCTTTGAAAACTTCGTGGAATATTTTGTTGTGCTTTAGTAAAGTTGATTTATTTTCAAACTTCCTCTCGCACTTATTGCATGTATAATCTTCGCGATCTTTATGTACTAATTTTTGATGCCTAAACAGACTCGATTTTTTCTCAAATTTCTTCTCGCATCTATCACATGCAAAATTTTTGCTGCTTTTGTGTTCTGATATTTGGTGTCTACTCAAATGACTTCGGAACTCGAATTTCTTCTCGCACTTGTTGCATGCGTAATTTTTTTCGTCATTATGAATTGTATCTCGGTGTGTTATCATGCTTGATTTTAATATAAATGCTTCCGGGCAAATATCACAAATATATTGTTTCTCGTCTGGAACAGCAATGTTGTGTTCACTTAAATTATCCTTTGAGCCAACTTCTTCGGATTTCTGATCACTTTTATCCATGTTCGAAAATAAATAATCCATGCTCAAAATAAACGATGGATCCTTCTACTTATAAGTTATAGTGTCACGAAAATTGAACGAGTAAAATTTACGTTTTGGAATTGTACAAGCTTGTATCATTAGGAAATACAACATTCATACTAATTTGTGCTCGAATATGATCGGTGTGTCAAGGGACGATGTGAAAATCATTTATGATAATATTTTTGACATTTAAACTACTAAATTGTGAGACTTCCAAGGGTTTGTATATTTATTCCTCATTCTGTATATCCATAAGAATCAACTCATATTTACAATTGCCAATAATAATTAGTTCTCGCATTAGTGGCATGCTTTTTTTACAACCTTTGTGAACTTTTTTTTGGTGTTCAAGCAAATGCGATTTATGCCCAAATTTTTTTACACAATTATCACATGTAAACTCTTTGCGAGTTTCGTGGAACAGTTTTTGGTGTTGTATCAAATTGCCTCGAGACCCAAATTTCTTCTGGCATTTATCACATGAGTAATCTCTACAACCTTCATGGGCTTTCTTTTGGTGAGAGAGCAAATTCGACTTAAGCCCAAATTTTTTTTCACACAAGTCGCATGCGTAATCTTTACGACCCTCGTGGACTATCTTTTGATGGCAAAGCAAATACGATTTTCGTCCAAATTTCTTTTCGCATATATTGCAAGTATAATCTTTGTGACCTTCGTGAACTGTTTTTTGGTGATTTAACATATCCGATTTTTTTCCAAATTTCTTCTCACATTTGTCGCATGCGAAATTCTTATGACCTTCGTGCACTGTCTTTTGGTGGGAGAATAAATGGCTTAAGTGCCCAAATTTCTTCTCGCACTTGTTGCATGCGAAATCTCTACGACCTTCGTGCACTGTCTTTTGGTGTTCAATCAATTTCGATTTTTGTCCAAACCTCTTCTGGCACTTGTCGCATGCGAAATCTTTCCTACCTTCGTGGACTATTTGTTGGTGTATGATCAAATTGCTTCGGTCCGCAAATTTCTTCTCGCACATGTCACATCCGTAATCTTTCTGACCTTGGTGAACTATCCTTTGATGACGAAGCAAATTTGATTTGTGTCCGAATTTCTTTTCGCACTTGTCGCATGTGAAATCTCTACGACCTTCGTGCACTGTCTTTTGGTGGGAAAATAGATGACGTTCATATCCAAATTTCTTTTCGCATTTGTCACATGCAAAATCTTTTCGTCTATTGTGAATTGTATCTCGGTGTGTGATCATGCTTGATTTTAGTAAAAATGACTCCTGACAAATATCACAAATGTGTTGTTTCTCGTCTGGAACAGCAATGTTGGGTTCACTGAAATTATCCTTTGAGCCAACTTCTACGGATTTCTGCTCACTTTTATTCATTTTGGAGCTTAAAATAAACGTTCTACTCACAAGTTATAGTGCCACGAAAATTGAACGAGTATAATTTGCGTTTTGGAATTGTATTGTTTTGTTTCATTGAGAAAGACAATATTCAAACTAATTTGTTTTTACTCGAATATGATCGGTGTGTGTCGAGTGGACGATGTGAAAATCATTTATGATAATATTGTTGACAAATAATTTATCGGTTTATTAATATAATTCCTTTTATAATTCCAACCTGTTCTAATTACTAGCGATGTCGGATTTGAAAAATTACCGTCCTTGGGCAAACTTTTTTTGTCACCAACTTGAGGGGGCTAAGAGATAGAAATATATACCTACTACGGAAGTAATCCGAAAATCTAAAATCTTGTCATAAACCCTAGCTTAATGTACAAATGTAATTTAACCCATTAAGTCCGGGACGGACACATTTTTAATACTTTTTTTAACCTTTGTACTTTTGCTGAAACTGGGGTCTGGAGATCTTGCGAGTAAGCATATTCTACGCAAAATTTACTGAACTTTCCAAATCCGGTGTCAGATTTTCGATAGCTCGTCAGTAATCATAACAATAGTACAGCGAGGCGTCTGTCTGTCTCTTTCTCGCATTAGGTAGACAACTGCTCGCACTATTCGAAATCAATAATTTTACGCCCATTTTGTTTAATTACTCATTAGTTAGTACGGTAAGGGGTAATTTTTAACATACCAATCGAACGGTAGTGACTTGAAGCATAACATATTCGTTTTTGGGTTAAGATCTGTTGTTTAATAAAAAAATGATAGCTTAAAATGTATGAAATTATGATGGCCTCCCATAAGAGCCCATGTTAAATTTGCTAACTTCAACGGCTTCGTTCTCAATAATTAGTACGGTAACCCATGCTGAAATTTCTATAGAATATCAAGGGCACTTTAAACATTTCTGCAAAGTTTCATGAATATCTGTTGTCGACCCGTTTTACTGATGTGCCACCTTAAGTTACTGATTTATCTGTTTATACATTGCCTTCCTAATTTGAACAAGGGCTAACTTGCAATGGCGGATCAGACGAATTGCCGCCTCATGCAAACTTTATTTACTACCCACTTAAGGTAGCTGATTTTTAAAAATCCAAAAAATTATATTTGAAGTATTTAAATAAGATTAATTATTGATTGATAATTAAAATTAAGGAAAGGATAGAAAATTATGAGGGCTTTGATAGTTACCACAAGTATAAAAAAGTACAAAAGATAGTTTTAAAATTGTATGTTTAAATAGTAATAATTATAAAACATGTTTTTTTTACTTTTCATTGAGCAAATTGGCCAATAAATTTTTATAATCTATCGATTGATTTAACTTGGTTTCTTAGACGATTTTGAAGGACTTTAATTTTACTTTCAATTTATGATGATACAGCAAAATTATACAGTAAACGATGCAAATAAATGTAATAAAATGAACCAATTTTATTTTCAACAGGAACGCTGACCCACAAGTCGACGTACAAGCAGTTCGTGGGCACGGTGCACGTGATGAAGGCCGTGGCGTCGCACATGGTCGTCACCTTCTGCACCCGGGGCGGCGAGGGCCACATGTTCTCGCTGCTGCTCGGTCGCGAGCATCGACTGCCGAAGAACGACCTGCGTGGCATTCGCAAGCTGCTCGAGCGAAGAAACCTCCAGCTGCTGGTCACGAGGGAGAGCTGCCACAACACGGCGGCGACCGTGGCCTCGTCGACGTTTATTCTCCAGCTGCTTCTGTTCTCGATCCTCCCCGTGCTCGGTTACAATCGATACTTCGTCGAGTGAGAGAGAAGAACTCGTACATCTTGGCGCTCGCGGGAGAAATAATTCGTATAAGCTTCGACCATTCGTATGTATGATCGTTCAGGGGGAAAATTTTTGTTTTCCAACTTTGTTTTTTTTTTTTTTTTATCAAGAAGATCAAAAACTCATCGTGTCGTAGACAGCAAGCTAGTCCAATAGACTTAAGATCGCTAGTTAAGTATAAATGTGTAATTGCCATAAACTTTGTTATTATACAATCTTTACAATAACGTATGCGCACTGGAAGTAAAGTTACAACGTGAAAACGAAATCCAGAGCTTTTGATGCAGATCAATGTAATTCGTGTGAACTCATACAAACTTGTGACGTACTAAAGTTGCTTTTGATTATCTTGCATTCAGTCTTAGATTAGTATTTAAGAAATGAGTCTTTAATTAGAGATATCGATTAAGTTTAATTTCTATTTTATATATAATAAAAACTTTCATTCAATAGTTTTTTTTACTCTATAATTACACACGACGACCAATTTTATATATATTTTTACGAGTGTCAATTGAATTGAACTTTTTTATACTGTACCAAGCACGAAGTCATGAGAGCACAATTTTAAATTTACGGAACAATTGTCATTAAAAGACAATTAAAAAATCATAACGAAATTGAGTGATTTATATCATTTTCTGTGCTATAAGCTAACTTTTTTAAAACATTTGCGAAGTTTATCACGAATTAACAAATCGTCCTTATGTTGTCACACTTTTTAAGCCTTTTCTACAAAAAAAGTACTTGTTAAGTAGTTGAACTGTTTAATAAATGATTGATTTAACCAAAATTAAGTAGTTATTTAAATGAGATTGTGCTTTTTTCATAGATGTTGACAGAAAAGAATAGTAAGAGAACTAAAACCATTTAATCAGTCGTTAGAACGTGTAACATAATTTATAATAAATATTTATATTTATAAAGAATTTAAAATTTTAGTAGCCAGTAATACCATCTGATATTTAATAGATATAATACTAAGCAATTTATTTATTTCAAACTAGAATTTTTTGCCTCGTACGCGACTGGCTGATGCTTGAGCAAATTACGCCATCTAATAGTTCATTTGAATTTCAATAAGGGAATTTACTAGAAAGCTGTAATTTTTATTTGAGATAATTTGGTGGATGATTTAATTTAATTTAATGAATATAAATTTACCAACTTAATTCCAATGTGGTATATTTTAAAATGCAAAATTTTTCATCACTTAACAATGCAAATTTGATCTCGTAATTTTCGTCGTTGATCGATGAATGGTATTTTGGTGTTTTAAAAATCAAATTTGAAAGTATTTGAATATTTCTTTTTCCAAATTTTCTGGGCTAAATACATTTTTTTACAATAAAGAGTAGTCATGTCCATAACTGCAGTTTGTTAAGTTTATATATATTTGAATGTTGCAGCTGTATTAAAAAAAGTCCACGTCTAGTTTATTTAAGTTTTCCATCGTATTCAACTTGATAAAGTTAAATGTAGGATCCAAAAAGAATCTATAGCTTAAAATAATATAGCTTAACTTAGATACATAAAAAGTTGCAATTATGCATATTTTACTATAATGATTTCAGTGCTCGGATTGAAGTCACAATTGAAAAATCATCATTTTCTTCTAAAGAAGCTCATCTAGAGTATAAAATAATGTAATATTACTAACTCACACTAATTGTAAATATGATAGAAAATTTGTTGTTTATATGCACAATAATTTGCGTTCTATATAATTTATCTATCGCAAATAGTATATATTTTTAGAAAAAAAATACCAGAAATTGTTTTGTAATTGATAAATATTAGTTTTGAAAACATTTCTGATTAACGTGTACGTCGTATTTGTTGTTAAATAAAATTGTTAAAAATAAAGTTATTGTTAATACGGATCCAAAAAATAGTCAATGATGCGGTGAGAAAGTTTATAAATATTATGTTAAATTATATAGAAAAGATGATTCAGTCGCTACTTTATACAGTGGGTAATAACTTATCAATACTTTAAAATGCATAATGTCATGTGCTTACATGTATAAGAATCGAGAACAATAAAAAATGTTTAATATCAACAACTTGTTTTACAATTACTTTACCGCTCAAAAAAAAGGTTTGAAATCGAAAGAACTTTTATTCAATTTTTAGAAATAGCACGATCTCTAACTTTTGATCGAGTGTAATCTCAGCTTGGCTATTTTTAAATATGTTGAGAACAACTCTAAGATATTACACTTTCGAGTCATAGCTATCGTTTGCTGATAACATTTCTACCACCTTGACTTCATCTGCTGGTACTAATTCTATTCAATATTTGTAAACACTTCGAGCACTCGGGATTGATTAGTTCTTTCTTTTGCTCACGATAACACGTTGCCATTTCGATTTCATGATTTGTAACACTAAATAATTTTCATTGCATTTAATGCAAATAAAGTTATTCAAGGACTAGTCTTAAATTCAATAAAATGGAGTCTAATGGTCCATTCAACTTTGCTGTCGAGTAATCGTCATTGTGCAAATTAAAATAACTATATGAGTATAATTGTATTTTTTTTTTAATTTTATTGATATTTTCAGAGTAAAAGAATCTAATGATGGGTACCATAACGAAAATGCCTATAATGATACGAGAGATCAAGCGTTCGATACTGAAAATTCGAAATATGCGCAAGTAAATTCCGTAAGTTGAATGATAAATGCAATTGATTGAATTTTTTTACAAAATATATTCATACGATTTTATTTTGATAACAGATTCACACACTTGAAGAATACAGTGGAATGAATAATATTCAACTTAACGAAGAAGCCAAAGTAGAGTTTGAGTGCAGTTTATTAGTACCTGGTAAAGTGAACGAAGAAACTCATAAATTTCAACAACCTAACCAAGAAATGAAAATAGAATTGGCGTACCCGGATGTGAAAACCGATGTGAATTTATCAGTGTCCGATGAAGCAAACGATTGGTCTCATCGGTCTGATCAATATGAAGATGTTAAAATTAGCGATGATTTTGCATCACATTCCTCGATTCAAATTGAAACTGAGGAAATAGTCAAGAAAAGGTTTCTTAGTGATACTCAGAAAACTATAGATTCAAATACTGGAGGCCAACTCAACGGACAGAAAATGAAAATGTGTCCTCTAGTAAAGAAAAGAAAACAATCTATGCAATGCAAGTTGTGTTTGAAAAAATTTTCTTCAAAACAAAGTCTGGAAAGACATATTGATATAGTGCATAAGTGTATCTCTTACCCTTGTAATGATTGTGGAAAGGCATTTAAAAGCAAAGATTATCTCAAGGTACATATTGATTCAGTGCATAAATGTATCTCTTACCCTTGTGATGATTGTGGAAAGGCATTTAAAAGCAAAGATTATCTCAAGGTACATATTAATTCAGTGCATAATCGTATCTCTAATCCATGTCACACTTGTGGAAAGTTATTTAAAACCAAAGCTTCTCTTAAGAAACATATTGATCTAATGCATAACTGTATCTCTTACAATTGTGATATTTGTGGAAAGACATTTAAAAGCAAAACTTCTCTTAAGAAACATATTGTTGTAATGCATAACTGTATCTCTTACAATTGTGATATTTGTGGAAAGACATTAAAAAGCAAAACTTCTCTTAAGGTACATATTGATATGGTGCATAATTGTACCTCTTACCCTTGTGATGATTGTGGAAAGGCATTTAAAAGCAAATATTATCTCAAGGTACATATTGATTCAGTGCATAATAGTATCTATTATCCATGTCACACTTGTGGAAAGTTATTTAAAACCAAACCTTCTCTTAAGAAACATATTGATGTAATGCATAACGGTATCTCTTACGATTGTGATGATTGTGAAAAGTCATATGAACACAGAAGTTCTCTAATGGCCCACATTAATTCAGTGCATAATCGTGTCAACTACCACTGTCAAACTTGTGGAAAGACATTTAAACGAAAGGATAATCTCAAAGCCCATGTTGATTCAGAACACAGAGGTCGAAAATATTATTGCGATATATGCTTGAAGTCATATAAACATAAAATGTCTTTAATAACCCATACTGTTTCAATGCATAATTGTATTACATACCTATGTTATACGTGTGGAAAGAGATTTACACAAAAGGGTGCTCTCACAGCCCACGTTGATTCAGAACACAGTGGTCGAAAATATTATTGCGATATATGCTTGAAGTCATATAAAAAAAAAAAGTCTATAATGACCCACATTGTTTCGATGCATAATTGTATTACATACCCATGTCACACGTGTGGAAAGAGATTTAAACATGAAAGTAATCTGAAACGTCATATCGATTTTGAGCATATTACTATTTTCCCGTGTGACATTGTAGAAAAACGTTCACGTAAAAGGCAATTGTGAAAACAAACATTGATTAAGCCCATGAGACTTTTAAACTAAAAATTAATCTGAAAATACATTTGGATTCAATGAATAATGATCGAAACCCTCACAACTGTGATATGTGCAAAAAGTCTTTCGAAATGAAATAAAAATTCACATCGATTCGACGCTCAGAAGAATAAACATCGTGCGATATTTTCAAGAAAACATATTAAATTGAAATTCCAATAATTGGAGTCAAGTCTTCTCAAAAATAACGAAATAAACTTTTATTTTTTTAAATTAAATTATTAATGAATAGTATAACAATATAATTAAACCATAATTACTTGGAACATATACAAATTTAATTTCTGAAGAGAATTTGGAAGTATGTGTCGATTGAACGTTAATATCACATAATTAATCAATTTTATATCTTTTAATTAAATAATTTGAAGCTGTATCATTTAAATGATAACATTTAGTCAAACCTACAGCATATTGAAATTATGGTAGACTTTCTAAAATGTAAAACCTTCAGCTTCTTCCAATAAATATTGTTATTCCCATTTTTTATTATAAAATGCTAATAAAATCTACATTACTTTAATAATCACTTTCCATTGATCCAAAAGACTATACTATGATCCTCGAAAAAACGAAAAATCGAGGAAAAACATACGCTTAAATTATACTGTAAGGTCTGCTTCAAAAAATAATTATTGAACTTATCACAGAGCTCCCTCGAGGAGGTATAGAAAAATTTAACTTGTAATGTTTACATGATAGCCGACTACGACGGTTGTATTCTTAATAAAAAATCCATATTTCAAATGTTCAAAAACTGTTCATGGGAAGATTAATTTTTCCTTAAAATTTCATAATTTTTTTTTCTTTCAATTGTACGCTCCTGATGAGCTTTTTAGAGATTATCGAAATATATATTTTATCCCACCTAAATTCTGAACAGCGAGATGCAATAGATAATACGAGATAATTTACTCAAAACCCAAGATGCGAGTAAAAACCCAAGAAACTCGAACGAAGTAAACACCGCAAATAATCTCTCACGAAAGGATATTCGATGATTGAGATTAATTTGACAATTAACTTTTCCAGATTTATCTGCCACTTGACAGCTCGAGACCGTAAGCTCCTTGGCATCCGCTGTGCAAACGGTATGAATTTCTCTATTTTGCAGAGCAGCTGTTACGTATTTTCTTACTCGCGTCTGAGTATTTTCGCGAAGTAAGTAAGTTCTGTCGCCAGACTTTCAAGATTACTTAAGATCTCAATTACGCGCTTCGTTCTTATCTGAATTGTCCAGCTTTTTCTTCATTCTTTTTTCACTATGAATTGTTAGTATGTCATTAATAAATCTCGGTTAATTTAATAAGATAAATTATTAAAATTAGCTCAACTATAATTTTTACTATAGGAGCTACTACATGCTCAGTAGATTATTACAAAATTTGATCGTGAACTTGACAAAAATATAATCATATAATCATATTAATTGATATGTAGAATGAACTAGAACCATCGAGAATTTTATTGTATTATTCCAAAAAGTTGCAAAGCAAATTCTAAAAAGTGTTCAATTCTTGTAAATTAAATTCATAGTAATATAATGCCTAAAATTTCATTTTTATAAAAACATTTGAAAACGTTTCCTGTATTGTTTAATTGTTAATCAATGAAGCAGATAATAAATTCTAAACTCTTTGACGCAGAGCTTGCAAATATTAAGCTTACAGTAAACTCAAGCTATCGATACCGGCCTCTTTTGTCTTACTATGTCAAGCTTTGCGATGCCGGTCAAACTACTATGAGTAGGTAAGTTAGATCTCTTCGGGCACAAAGAAGCTTTATGATAAGTTACCAGTGTGTAGTAAATATATTAGCGTTAGAAACAACGATAATATTATATCTTAGTTATTTTGTACAAGTACTGAATTTATGAAACTATCCACGAATATCTTGGTATTGAAAAATTTACTTTAGCAAAGCTGAACGAGTAAAGAGATAATTCGACAGAATCGAAGACTCGATGAGGTAGCAAAAATCGATAATAATCTTGGGTTAATTTTGAAATATTATCGGCTAAATCGAGCCAATGACGGGATAATTTAATCATCGTGCGCACATTGACTCTACGAAGATCTAAATGTGCTTCTATATAAATAGCCGGCAATTACAAAAATTTTAAAATAATAAATAACAAGAAGCTATTTTTCACTAGCCGCGCGAGACCGAGCCAATTCAACTGGAAAATCGTTCGTTGATAAATTTGCAATTATCGTCATTGTCGAGTGTACAATGTTGGAAAATCGCATCATTCAATCGAGCTCGTAACCGAGAATAAGCGCTTTTATAAAAAAATTAATTTTATACCCCATATATCGCGCTGTCACCATTTTAAAAATAATAATTCGACCCAATATCGTCGGAATTTAGCGATGTATGTTATTTTTTAACGTTATCGTTTACGATCATCGACCATTATTGTATCGATAAAAAAAAGTATATATCTCGCGTACACCGGCAGCATCCATCGGCGTTATAATTTACAGGCTACAATTTAATTTAGCCCTGCTGCTGCTGCTGCTGCTGCCGTGTCTCTGTAGGCCCCCGCGCTGCACTCAGGTAATATCCATCACGCTACCCGCGCGCGGGAGGGAAGCAATCGAAGCTGTATCGGGACTCGGTTGTATATCGATACATACAGATAGAGATACATTACATACGTAGCTCAACTGGGTCACTACAGGAAGTTTCGTTCGTTACATTTATCAAACGCGAGAATTATGGATCATTAATTACATCGTATACGCGTGTACATCCTTATCGGGGGACGAACGGCACGTAAATTAGAATCAATCAAATGGCGCTCGGTTTAGCATCTCTCGATTAATAATTCAACAAATTAGAAATCATATTCATACCTATATAACGACGATCGTTAACCGTATACATAATGCGCGCCACAAGCTCGACTCGAGTCTAAAGAGTTGACATAACAATAATCGTTCCGTTCGCGAGCTTATACTCGGTCTGATATGTATACATACAGAAAAGTGACAAGTAGCTAGCTAGCTAGCCTAGCTATGTGCTGGCTATTATATAGTATACAGGCGCGCTCGCGCGCAAGCTCTGTAATACAAATACGCCGTATACATACCGTTTCCGTACCCTACGTGCAATATATATCTAGAGGCGAGAGCCTAGGCTACGACCCGGGATTGACGTCACCGAGCGCCGAGGCACATTATATAGCGTGTATAGCATAGCATAGCATAGCGAAGCGGAGCGGCGTGACGTCAAGCTGGGCCGTGAGCTTACTGCGCTGCTGCTCTCCCTTTGCCCCCTTGAGCGCTGCTTGCTGTTTTCTGTTATATACATACTTGCACACACAGACACATACATTCCTGTGCGCTGTGTGCAGTTGTGCAGTCGTTGTCCTCCTTCGCAAGTACAAAGCTTGCGCACGGATGCACACACGGATCTATATACCTAAAGTATGAATTATGAACAATAATCGCCTTTTTCTTCCTCTTCTTCGTTTCTTTTTTTGTTTTTTGTTACATCTGCATGTAGTATACTTCAATACGAGCTAGCTTATAGCTAGCGCAATTCGCTTTGTGTAAGCTCGTATTCCTGAAAACGAGAGAGCGAGAGAACTGTAGTAGAGTGTAATACGGTTACATCGAAGGCTGCAGCTCTTTGCGCGCGGCGTATACCTCTCACGATGCCCTCTCGATTTTCGTCACTGCTGCTGCACACACAACATCTATAGCAGAGAGGGATTATAAACCAATACTCGTGTGGGCCGCAGGGCTTCGAGAGAGCAAGATCGAAATTCGATAATTGTCGCGTGCTCCCACAACCAAGAGTGCAGTGGGTGTTATGTATATCCGATACGTATATATACTTTTTTTTTTACAACTGTATACCGTACACGAGCGCATTCCTCTAGCTGGCGGGGGTTTATATATCGGGAAAATTTCGTTTATCCGATGCGGAATTTACGCGACGAATTAGCAACGTCGAGGCGAAAATTAGAAAGGCAATGAAAAAATATTGTATGTACAGGGCACGCGTATATGAATTTTCAGCTTATGTAGCGTATAGAGTAACGAACGAACAAAAGCACTTGCATCGGTTCTCCGGTTCTCTCTCTGCCTCTACTTGATAGCATCGTCGTCATCGCGCATCGGGCCAGCAGCGACCTGCGTCACTACTCGAACAATAACGACGACGAAAAAGAATGATTTACTCGAGAGGCTCGAGACGACGCTTAATATATAGCCTATAGGCCAAGTAGTAAGTGCGTATATACAGGGACCGAGAGTCAAAGCACAACCCTGAGTCATGCGTGAGAGATGACGTCGATGATGATATACAAAGCTCGCAAGCGACAGAGACGACGACGCGAAAGCATTTCGAGTAAATATAAAGACGTTGTATATTATATATGTGCGTAAGAGAAACGGAGAGGAATTTGCGTAGTTACGAACGCCGATATTATATATATTCGATGTTCGGTGTTTCCCCGAGATTAATATACGTATGAAATATGTATGTATGTGTGTGTACAGTACGACCAGGCCGCAGCCGAGCGGCGCGGATAAAAAAGCTCGCGCGCGGCTGATCAGTAATCGCGCACGATGTATACACGAGATCGTCACTCGACGACGACGACGACGATACAGGCCTAGAGATATATATGTAAACAAATTTTCGCAGCTTCGCTACGTAGCGACAACAAGAGCACGACATTGTCACGCGGTGCGTTATGTATTATAGACAGCACAAAGTTCGTTAGAAAATTTAATCGGCCTGCGCTTATGATTCTCGAGTAAACGCGCGTGCGAGTACCGAGCGATCGGTCATGTAGCTCGTATAATTATAATATATATTCGATGATCGAGGGAAAGAGAGATGCCGAGCGCATATATACGGTCGAGGTCAGAGATTGCATCGAATCGACGCCGATTCATTTATTGGTTCGATGTAACGTTACGCAAATCCGTAACTGAAGCATTGGGCTTAGAAGCGAGATGCCGAATGAATTAATTCTATGCTGCTTGATGCATCGAGGGTAGTAGGGGTGGTGTATTCGTACATAAAATTAATACATGAAGAAATGGGGCGTCCAGATTTTATACGTACCTACATGCTGCGTTTCGTTAATATAAGAATTG